CAATCCGAAAGGCGTGGTTATTGCCGTTTTTGGTATATCTTCTGGGCTAACCGGTATTTGATTATAAGCCTTGACTAGGTCCAATGTGCGGAAAATTTGACACCCTGATATACTGTGCGCAAAGTCCTGAATGTGCCTAATTGGGTATCTATCGGGGATTGTGCGAGCGTTAAGCATTCTATAATCGCCGCAAGATTTAAGCAAATTGTCCTTTTTTGGGGCTAAGTGGAGTGGCGAAGACCAAGGACTTGCGGAAGGCCTGGCTATCCCATTATCGAGCATGGACTGAAACTCTCGTTGAGTTATTTTGAGTTTGTCTGGAGCGAGGCGACGAGGTGAACAAGAAACTGGAGGTCCTGGTGTCGTGTGTATATGGTGAACTGTGTTATGTTTTATGATGCGGTGTGTACCAGCTGGTCGAGTAATTTCTGAAAATTCCTTTAATATTCTATGGCATTTGGAGTCACTAGTTGAAACTTAACGAAATATTAGTGAATTTTACTTGTGAGGCAGTGGCTGTTACAGATGTTGTACTATCGGTAATACGTTTATTACGACAATCTACAATAATGCTGTAATAATTTAAAAAACTACACCTATAATAGGCTTTATTACATCAGCCACTACAAAGCGCCACTTAAATACTCTACGTAAACCAAAATCTAAATTCATTTCTACATAACCATAAGTGTCTATATGAGATCCGTTGGCTGCACTTAGCTGATATGTAGTCCGGGCACGACGTTCACGAAGCATCGACCGTGGGAAGACGCAGAGGTCGCTTCCAGTATCGACCAGAAACTGGGTCTTCGACGCACGGTCGGTGACAAACAGACGACCAGTTGAGGAGGGGCAATCACCGGTCGCCATTAACGATTGCCCTTGGAGTTTTCCGACCGATAGTCGCATGGTCGGACGCACTATTCACACTATTCGCTTTATCGCCGAACTTGGATTGGTACCAGCAAACAGGGAATTTTTTATAGCTGGACTGGGATCTTGAAGAAGAGCGATGTTTGCGACTAACGCATTTGGAGCGTGATCTGCTGTTTCTATGCGTCATGGTAAGCGCTTGCACTTCTCTTCGTAGCGCTGCAACTTCTTTGGCCAGTTCGCTGTATGCGGGTTCTCTTGAATGGCTTGTAGACGCCACCTGAGGCGCTGATGGTACCAGGTCATGAATCCTGTCAGCTACGTCCGCAAGCGTCTCGATGGATGCCTCAGGTTGGCCAGCCAAAAAAGTTTGTATGCTTGATGGAAGACGGCTAATCCAAATCGTCTTCATGAAATCGTTCGAGACCTGTACGCCAGCAAGACCTTGAAGATGGCGGAGAAATTGCGATGGTTTTCTATCGCCCATTTCCTGGTGCATTAATAATTGTGACAGCTTTTTTTCTTTGGACCCACTCAGTCTCTTAATTAATTCGTTCTTCAGCTTCTCGTATTTATTGGTCGATGGTGGGTTAATAATAATATCCTTTACCTCGACTGAGTATTGATTATCGAGTTGACCGATGACGTAGTTAAGTTTTGTTGCATCGCTTGTAATGCCGGATATATTGAACTGACCTTCAACTTGAGCAAACCATATCTCCGGTTCCTCTGGCCAAAATGGTGGTACTCGAACTCCAACCTTACATATTTCCAAGGTCTGTTCGTGTTGAGTCGACTCACTGGTTGTCATACGTGGCCGGGTAAGGTCACCTTCCAACGCCCTGGCATTTTCAAACTTTTTCTCGACGTTGCTCATTTTTATGTCCAATGAGGGTCACCAATGTAGTTGTGGTAAGGGTGTGGTATATCACTATTGAGCAGGATATCAAATAATAAAGCCGGTCTGACACTGATACTCACTGTTTATTGTTCCACAGCACAAATAGTCCACAAATAACAGTTAGAAGGAGAAGGCAACGGAGTTATTTAGATGCGAAGAAACAAGCAGAGAGATAGAGGAAAAGCAAAGCGTAACACAATTAACATAAACGGTTTAAATGTACGTAAGCAACGTTGACAAGCGTCCGTGAGGCAAAGCGACAATCTCTCCGCGTAGTAGCACGTAAGCGACTGACTAATGGGGCGGTGCGAACTGCGAACGCGCAGCTGGCCGGCAGCCACTGCTCCACAACATTACCATATATGGTGCGTTCGCGATGGAGCTGCCGGGACGAACCTTCGAGACTTCGACCAACGGTTAAATGCTGTATAGTGTGTATAGTATATATAGCTTGTGTTATTGTGTTGTGATAAATGTGTGCGTGAATGGTAGTATGTTTGAATGTGTGTTTTGTGAGGCCCCTACACTATCACAAAAAGACTACATCTATTATCATCAGGCTCAGACTCGGCCATGTATGTTCCCCTGTGTTTCTGGCTAAACTGCATATTCGAAATACGTCTTTGTGTGAATGCGGGTTAGATGAGGGTACTCTTGATCATTTATTCTTTAGTTGTCCTATGTTATCAGTCCCTTTATATGACCTACTCCCACCCACTATTGCACGTCCTGTGAATGTTAGTTAGTTGTCTGTTAACTCTTGTCTATGACCCATTCATTAAAACTCCAGTTAGATTTATAGAAATTAATAATATACGGCTTTAAGCTGGTTTATAAGATTTTTGTTTTTCGCTTATTTTTGTTCCTGTTCCTTTTTTTTTTTTCTTTTTCTTTCCCTTTATTTATGTATGGCTGATGTCCCATGACTAATGACCATGTTACTAATTACTAATAAGGTGTTTTGTTCCTCTCTTTACAGGTATGCAACTGAAAGTGGTTTAATACAGTAGGTTATTATTGTCATGTCCTTAGCCTAATCGATCTCCAAGTACCAAGTTGTTGGCAAAATCACTGACGTATCAGATGAAGACCTGAAGACTTTTTTCGGCAGTGCGGTCGCGTGGTGGACTATAACGTAATATCTTCAGGTGGGCCAGAAGTGAGATATAAAACGTTCAGCTCTCTTGAAATCAATATGCAGCAGCGGATATTTTATCGGATGAACGGGTATAAAAGGCTACATCGTATCGCGAGAAAACGCACTCTTAGATGAAATACAAACTGTAGGTTCGATTTCAAAATTTATTTTTTAGGGGTCCGTACCCACAGGGTATTTTCAAAAACGGGACCCTATTACTAACACTCCATTTTCGGTCCGTCTGTCAACACGGGCTGTATCTTTCTGTCCGTCTGTCTGTATTTCAGATATATAAAAGTACTCTTTGGGCTGTATCTCATGAACCATGATAGTTAGACATTCGAAATTTCCGCCCATGGACATCAGCTACACCCGAGGGTTGCAGATGCGTTGACAACCTTAACTCCCATACAATAGATATGTTTTTTTTTTTTGCGTTTTTATAGATAATTGTACGGTACCCTTCGTGCGCGAGCCAGAATCACACTTGGCTGGTTTTTAAGTACCACCGAAAACACAATGCATTTTGATTGAAATTTATTACGAAGAAGAAATACTTAGCTGCCTAACTAATGTAATCATATATATATATACTTAATATTTAGGCCCATACAGGTTACTTTTTAGTTTTAAAAAACGCTATTTTATCCTATAAAATGTAGAGTAGGTACTGGGAAAGAGGTTTGCAGGTAATTGATCTTGTGTCGTTTTAACGAAACATTTGACAAGCTGCGGATTGAATAGCAATGAAATAATATGATTTATTAGTATATTTCAGTTCTTTTCCTCATATTTTTGTACACTCCTTCAAATAAGAAATAACATGAAATGTTTTTGTATTTTACTGTAGTTTTGTATTGCTACTGTCTTAATTTACAATAGGTAGGGAGACTTCAAAGTGAGATGTTTTCGTGAAGTAATTTAAAAATTGTTGAATTAATAATTAAAACGCAACAAGTTATATTTCCAATATTTGGTTTATTGTGCTGTAATAGACAACTAATTGTGTTTACGACAACTGAACGGTTCTGTCTATACAGTTATACTTATAACTATTCTAAGACTAATTAAAACAGTTGTTAATGGGTCCTTTTTACATTTTATTATTATCTACACGATTAATATTCCTTTACATACATGAAAGCAATACTTTATATGGATATTTAAAGAGGAATTATGCTAAATATACAAAAGTAATTCTATACAGTATCACAGAGGCACAATACAAAATTCATTCTTTGTACTAATTCAAAAGATAAAACTATCGAAAACAAAGTAACTGTTATATCGCAAGTTTTAAAACTTTCTTTAAAAAGTTTTAAAAAATGAGTTAACGTGTATGCAATGGTTTTAAAAATTAAGCCATGATTTTATTATTTAAAAAATCATGTTATAAAATACATGAAGGTATAATTTAATATTACATTTTTCCTGTGAAACATGTAACAATAATATTACCGACTATGGCACAATGAAATAAACATTTAATATACAATGTATACTTTATATACAACAGTCCATAAATTAAAAAATAAAAATAAACCAATCGAATGAATTTCGTATTCACTATAACTACTTTTCCTACAGGAAACATCACTAATTTATTAATGCTAAAAATGACCGAATTCAATTTACTTTGTTCGACCTATTTTTAGTTTTTATTTCAAGTTTTCTTATTGTCTAAATATTTTAATTTAAATAAGTTTTTAAAGTTGTGAAACCTTTAGAAAAAAAAATAATAATTAATAAATACAGTATTACATTAAATTGAAATAATTCATATTTCCCTAAATTTTACGGTTTCGTAATAAAATTTAATTATTTTATACTAAAGTTTAACTTGATAAAAATTAACACACTGGTACAATCAGAAAGGGGAATTAAAACTGGAAGAGATTCGAGGTGTAATTAAGGAATGTGGAAATATGTTTCCTTTATTGCATCATAATCACACGATCACAAAGCTTACAGTGGTAAATAGTTAATACGTTCTAATATTCTTTTTTAATCGCCATGCACGAAATTAAGGGCGCGATTGTACTCGAGTACCAGTTCATGTGTCGTCTACGAAATTAAAAAAAAAACTCAATTTCCCGCCTTTATTTCCGAGCTCGCGGTTTCGTTGAAACAGTCGTTCGAAACACCGCTCTGCACCGAGCAGTAGCTGGCGGGCGAGCTTCTGTCGCTGGAGGTTTTCTCTAGACTGTGGTACTCGACCATACTGCCGCTGGGTTGACGCAGAATGTTCTGGAACGCGATCGGGTAGGGGTTCGCGATTTTGTCTGGTTTCTTCAGCAACTCCTCGATCGAATAGGGATTCTTCTTCTTTTCCTTGTCCTTCGAGCTCTTGTTGTCACGTTCGTCGTCTAGCCTGTCTGTGCTGTCGTCGCTGGCTTCGACGGAGACGTGTTCGGAGGTCTCCGATTTTACCTCGTCGGGATTTATCCTGTTTAGGAGCTCGCTGTGGAGGCTGAGCGCGTAAGGGCCGAAGCTCTTGGCGTCCGCGTGGTAGGGCATCATCAGTCGTTGCCAGGGGGAGATCGGGTAGGGCTTCAGCAGCCCCTGCGCTTGCACCTGGTTCGCCAGGAGCCAAGACGTCGCCAGCCTTCTGTCGTACATATGAGTTGGGTCCGTTGGTTGCGACGGGTGCATCCGGACGGCGGAGTGCGCGAAGTAGGGGGAGCTCTGTTGGGCCGGCATGTTTGTTGGCGCTAGTGACGTTTTCAGCGACATGTACTCCATAACGTTGGGCGACACCTCCGGCGGCGGGTACGGTTCTGCAAGGCAGTTTTCTTTCATTTTAATCCATATTTTATAATAAAGAATGATTGAATTTAATCCGTATTTTATAATGAAGAAATAATAAAGAGAAATGAAACCGGCCAAGTGCGTGTCGGACCGTACGAAGGGTTCCATACCATTATCTATAAAAACGGCAAAAAAGTCATGTCTATTCTGTGGGAGCTCAGTTTATTCTGTTTTTTTTTATTATTTGTTGTTATAGCGACAACAGAAATACATCATCTGTAAAAATTTCAACTGTCTAACTATCAAGGTTCATGAGATACAGGTTGGTGACAGACCGACAAACAAAAAGACAGACAGCGGAGTCTTAGTAATAGAGTCCCGTTTTATCCTTTGGGTACGGAACCCTAAAAAAGAATTGGTCGGCAATTTTTTTTAGCTGCTATCTTCATTAGCCAGAGCAATGAAGCAAGCGATTCTATCTTACTAAACTCCGTCAAAATGTGTAGTACCTACAATTACTTTTATTTCTCTTATTAAAAGAATAAAATCAACGTTATTTCTGAACGAATTGCAAATTTGGCTTGCACACTGCTACCACGGTTAAAAAAATTGCGTCAATGTATCATTTTACACATTTTGAATTAGACAAAAATTAAAATTCAACTTTTACTTATTTAACCATCATACCATATAGTTTTCTGTTGTTCAGAACTCTTTACGTGCGAAATGAACTTCTTAACTAAAATATATAAATAAACTTTTCGGAACTCCCAACAACATACCCAACGCCCCTATCATCTTTGAATTATAAGTTCGTCGTTTGTATTGATAGCTACTTACTACACAACCTTAAAAACAGACACGTAAAACATTCGAAAAGCGGAGAACACGGCTTCAAGCCTTTTGGAATTCGTTCCAAAACTTTTAAGTTCGCAAGTGATATAGTTCTGTCACTAAATTATCAGTACCTACATCAATCATTACCTTTATCGTCAACTATAATCATTTGACGACGGAATTTTAGACGGTGTTTTTTTTAAATATTACAAATTTTCGCCATAAACAAAATCATAGATAACAAATCATATACCTATTACAAGTCCATGTTACCAGGGCTGTTTGTTAATACCTTTAAATATTAAATAGAAAGTCGCGTTTATGATTATCATTCACTGTGCCCGAATAATTAATTGCAAGTAAATTATTTAGTCACAGAAACAATAAAAATGTTGGCAGTGATAATTGTAAAAACAAATTACAATATAATCAGTATAATTTATCGTTGTTTGCGCAAGCAAATAATAGTTTTTACTGCAAACTTCCTTCTTTACGATCGCACCTATCTTATAAATTTGTATAAAAATCCAATAGCTGGGTGAGAATAATTTTGTTAACTTTAATTAACAAACATTTCGTTTATAAATAACAATGTTCCATTAGGTACGCGGTATGTTTAGTAGTTTACATGTATAAACTGAACGATTATCTTATTTCGGATTAATTAAATGAGATAACATAAATTTTCATGTCCATTTTTACTTCCTTGCACCTGTCCATTTTATCATGTTTGTATAAACTTTGCCTATTTTGTTAATACAGTTTTAGGATTGTTTTTTATATATGCGGCAATTTAATGACAAAAGAATGTTCCTAATGTAATTTATAACTTGATGGGACTATTATAAAAAGTGACCTCTTTTGTAACATTTAAGGAGCAAGCATTGTGACAATAAATATTTTTTTGTGTTGCCGTTTAAAATAATTTAAACAGTGAAAGTGTATTTAGTAGATTTTACTTTTAGGATGGTATGTGTATTTCCCCTTTTATGTTTGTATAGTAAATGTATAGTTAATTTTGTAAATAATTGTATAGTAAATTTTCTAATTATTTCGATTTGATGGAATAGTTTAGTCGTTTCTTTGGACATGTCTTTACTTAAGTATTTAGATAACAATACAAATGGTAAGTTTTAACCGTTGCCAGTTAGATTTAAGGGTATATGTAACTGGGCTTAACGCAGCCACTGAACTGCTGGTGCTTCTTACTCACCATGACCAGATCTAGGTTCTTCGTCACTCCACGCGAGCCCGCTGTTCCTCAGGATCCTGTTCACTGAGGAGACCGAAGGTATCGAGTGGGGTTCGCACACCCTCGCGCTGAGCAGCCTCTCTCTGATCTCCCAAGCGAACATGCCGGGGTTCTCTTGTTTCAGCCGCAGTATCTTCTTCACAACTGTCGGCGTTGCCACTTGCTGCAACAATTGAGATTTCATCACATATAGTATACTTTTATATCACACACCTTATTTTATATCACACACATGATGTGACGACAAATTTATCTGGGATTAGTACTGTAAATCGTCCTCTGTCGTTACATTCAGTGCGAGGATTACAGGGTCTAATGGAGAATTTGTGTTTATGTTTAACAGACTGAAGCCAGTGCTTGTAACGGTAACTTTAATTAATAATTTATGCTACTTCAAAAGAGGGGATACATAGTTTTTACTTCGCTATTTTTATAGTGACCGCTAATCAAATTTGTAATTTAATCGTATTTACTTAACCTAAAAATGGCCTTTCTAAATGTCTTTTGTACCTTTTGTTTCATCCGGTACGACAACAAAGAAGCCATCATAACTTTTAATCAGCTCTCCCTATGAGATCGTTATAAAGCAGACCCCGAAATTAATGTCATTATTTCGTAAGTGTTTACTTTGCAAAACTCAAACGGCAAAAGAATATTATCTTAGTTCCTTTTATATTAAAGTAAAGACCTATACATGTCCCACTCCTGGGCAAAGGCCTTTATCGTAATAGGGCACAGCCCACTGATTCAGACTTCACATATATTTGAAATATTTTTTTGTTGAAAATATGCAGGTTTTTTAACGATGTTTTCCTTCGACGCAGAGTACGTTTAAAGTGCGCACTTAAAATGAACAATTCCATTGGTGCCGGCATCGGGGATCGAAATCAGGTTGCTCGACTATATTGAATGAAAGGCGAGCACCCGGATAGTGAGCTACCACTGTTATCTTGCAATGGTTATATTTATTTTGCTTCGTAAACACTACCTATGCAACTTATATGTGATAAATATTACTATGGTTACACGAGAGAAATCGACATGGTCACAACAAGCACATCAAAGAGCAACACGGAAGCCTCTCAAACTGTATTGCAAAAAGCACTAGCAGTTATTAATTCCCCTGTGAACGTTACGCGAAAAAATTGATGACACGAAGTAAATATGCACGTACGCCGGTAATAACTCGAAATTACCAGGTTAACCGTTCGAGTCATGAGCCCGCGAGATTCCGATGAGCGGCGTGTACGCGTTAATGTCTGTTTAATAATGGCGCTCGCTCGTGATGTTTGTATTTACTGGGAAACGTGTCATTTACCGCCTCGAAAGTGTGAAAGCAATTCGTGTTTCTTTAATGGGATATGCGAAGCGACAGGCCCGTAGTAGGGGTTGAGGTGTGACGCCGAGTCGTGTTCTATTTTAAACCAATTTTAACATTAAATACCGTATTGTATAATCTAAGTACGAAAAACAATAGCTATCCTAAATTTTTTTAAGAGATATTTTAATAATTACAGAAAATTTATAATAACGCTAATACTAAAGAAAATTATAATATTACAAAGATAACGTCCGCGGTTTAGGCATAAAACAAAAACATTCAAATTTGTGACCTTCTATCTATTACCTACTAATATTGAGATTTGCCACGGAAACGTAGATTATGATGAGCTATAAGATAATGTCTGATATTGAAGGTAAAGAAAAGAACATAGAATTTTTGACTGATTAATTAAAAACATAAAAATTTCAAAATAATAAATATATAGTTTATAATCTACAGCGAAAAGAACTTCGTTTTTATAACAAGCATAATGTAATAAATTATCCAAGTTTATGTGGAACTGAATAGAAATTATAGAGCGCGCATTCTACACGCGTCGTACGTATAAGTGTTCTATAAAAGTGAACCTGCGTATGGACATTACACGGAAATATCATGGTGTTATACCAGATGAGACATCTGGTATAACACCATGATATTTTCGTCCCGTAAACACACTAACTAGCAAAATTGTTCTGAGGATCAAAATATCACGCTTTTCACGCTTAATGTGAAGCCAACTATGAAGAGTATAAAGGCCAAGAACTTTGATCCGAGAGGAATAAATACCGTGAAGATAAATAATAATTTGTTTAACAATTGACAATTTTGCATTTCAAATGCGCACCAAAAAGCGTTTAATTTCTTTTTTTATCAAGATATAGAAGACCCCCTAGGTGGTCGTGTCCAATCTGATATATCGATAGAGGCCCACTATAGCGGCGACTAATGAGTAAAGCCGTCGCTCTAAGCCAAGTTATTATTGTTGCCAGATGTCCATTCACACGGACTTTCATTTCACTGCCAATATTGCCTGTAGACATGAAGTGTAGTAAAGATATAGTCTAATGAAAATTCCTGCACTAATAAACTGCGAGCCGATTGTTTACGTGTATTCTTTTGTGAATTAGTCGTTAATTTTTTTTGGGTATGTAGTCACGAAACGTTTGGTTTTACAGTGTGCTATTTTCCTATAGTCTACCTATTTTTTTCTCATACAGAGTAATGCAATAGAGCCTTGTTTTTTCGAGTCGAGGAATTGTAGTAGTTGAATTTGTAAAAATTACAATTGAAGAAGTATTTTACACATCTAATATTTCAAATACTTTCGTACCATAAAAGTGTAAAATATTATGACAGGAGCTTTTGTAAGCGCGTCAATATAATTACAGACTGGCAACCTGAGCGCCCTTCGAGCAGAAAACGAAAAGAGAAAAAAAACATGGCGCTAAAATTGAGCGTTCAATAGGATATCGATTGAGCATCTAATAGAGTAATGACTGGTTTCCCACCAAAATTAACGCCTTGCATCCGCAGTGGGTTCTTACCACACCTTATTTAGAAGGCTACCATTTAAACATTATCTTTGACAGGCTCCTTAAAAGTCGTATAATTATTTTTTTAAAGCGCGCATGCGTGTATGGCGTTTTCGTAGCAAAAAATAGAATATGTTTAATGGATTTCTGACTTTGAGTTTCGATAATTGCCCTCGCTACTTTTGAATAAGACAGTTTGAAACGTGGCACGCATTTCCCGGTAATGCAGCCAATGCATAGAGTGTAATTTAGGTTTGTGTTGTGGCGTTAATAATAATTTGTAAAGATGGAAGCCCATTATTTAAGAATATCGCAATTTATTTCACGGGGAGCTAATCGGAATATGTTTTTTTATCGAGATCATACAGAGATCGAAAGTATATATTACAATTTAATGTCATTTGATTTTAAATGTGACTTTTTCATCATCTAAACTAAAAGTCAAAATCTTTTTTTATCTTATTTAGGCTACTTCCAATTTCTATATATTATATATAAATGAGTCTCTCTGTTTGTCCCTGTATAGCCTAAATTACTCTTTGATCAGTTATTTGACCGTGACCCAAATTTTTCACGAAATCGGTTTAGCCGCGTCATATTAAGAATACGTTTTAAGGTCCCAGTAAAGTAGATATACCACTAAGGTCCTCGAAGTACCACTTACACAAAAAACCAGAGTAAAATAAAAGTATTTACACCTTTATCTTTCGCCTGTTTGGTGAAAAAACATATCTGCGCATATTTTGACTCGACGTTATCTAGTCCCAAACTAATTATGGGACTATGGGTACAAACTAACTGACTAAGATATTAACATACATGACAGTAGAATAACACTAAGTTAATCATAAAATATTTTACTAGTATTGTGGATTGAACCCTCACACTCTGGCGCAAGAGACAGGTTCACTCTCCACTACCCATGTCGGTCAACCAGTCGCCGTCATCGTTTTAAAGGCGGACAATTCAACAGTAACCCTACGGGTGCTAATGATGTCCATGTGCACCACATTCTTGCCTCCATATTTAGCCATAAAAATGTTGTAACTAAATACAGCCTTATTTATTAATTTACTTATTAAGGTCTTTCAAAAAAATTACATGTTTTTGAGAAATTGCATACCAAGATTAATAGAAACTCCGGTAAAGAACAAGATGCAATTTCAATTATACTCGGGCATGCAGATAGCAGGTGCAATACAGTATTATATCACAGTACTACTTAAAATGAATATCAAAACCTACATATTATATCTACACTTTCATTTCATTTTTTTAATATGTATACTTATTTGTATATTCGCCTGAATTCTGCGCAGTGTACTGATCCAGGTCATTAGAAAGGACGTATTTATGTGACCACTTTAAATTACAGCGAATGACGTGTTTACGATCATTTTGAGGTTACATGTGCGTTCGATTATTGTAAACTTTTCGTTTTATAGCTATTATTACATATGGAGATGAGATTAACAGAATCATCTAAGTTTGATTAACGCTTTTAAGGATTTGATATCAATGAGAACATTTTGCAAGTTCTTAGAAGCCGTGCATGAGATCTTACGATACTTATGCTTTCTCTATGGTCTGAAGACACTATGTTGGGGCCGTTGACATGTCAGTTTGCTTTTCAAATTCATAAAATTATCGCATATTTATAGTTTAAACACTATTAAAATTTGAACTTAACAGAGATGCGATGCAGATAAAAAAGTTGTCCGTATGTCTGTTGGCTTCGGTCTCAAACAAAAACCTTCCAAATAATGAATTGAGATAGGATCCATTTCATATTTTTAAAGCGCGCCTCATCGCAAATTCATGAGGACGGAGACGCGAAACGCGAAAGAAAGCGACTCGGATACACGTCTAAAATGCGTTTCGATTTTAAACGCACAACACGACGGCGAAGGCCGGTAGATTATGAATAACGCGTATCGCGGTAGCGGGGCGCGTCATGGCGGCATTCCCGCGTCACGGCGCGTCCCGTTCGCCGCGCGACGCTTTTTGCCGCGCGCGCGCATCAATCATACCACTGACACATCCAATATCGGTTTTTGCGCGGCCCCGCTACGCGCGACGCAACAAAATGGCGCCCGTAACTGTCCGCAAACGCGTGGACGATTAGCGTTTCTTATTACCGATTTCTATTAGACTTTCCCGCCTTCCTGATGGGGTGAAAGATAATTTGCCGGGGCGTGGGACCGTTGCTTTAATGGCGGATTGATTCGATATTAATACGAGGGAAGAAGATGTGACGTTTCCCCGTTAATATTCGCTTAATGCGGTGTTGCAGGTGCTCGCCTAGTTGTCTAGGTGCCGCGCGGG